TCCTGCTTCAGCCTCTAAGTAGCTGGGACTACAAGGCATAAGCCATTGTGCCTGGCTTACACGTTTATAACACTTCTATTTTCTTGATAAATTAACCTCAATATTAATAAGTAATGACCACCTTTGTTTCTTGTAATAATGTTTTACTTAAAGACTATTTTGTTAGATATTAGTATTGCTATCCCAGCTCTCTTTTGGTTACTATTTGCGTGGAATCTCTTTTTCTATCTTTTCACTTTCAACCTATTTGTGTCTTTGGATCTAAAGTGAGTCTCTGGCCAGGCACGGTGGCTCACGCCTGTAATCCTAGCTCTCTGGGAGGCTGAGGCAGGAGGATCGTTTGAGCTCAAGAGTTCGAGACCAGCCTGAGCAAGAGCAGGACCCCGTCTCTACTAAAAATGAAAGAAATTAGCTGGACAACTAAAAATACACAGAAAAGCTTAGCCAGGCATGGTGGCGCATGCCTGTAGTCCCAGCTACTTGGGAGGCTGAGGCAGGAGGATTGCTTGAGCCCAGGAGTTTGAGGTTGCTATGAGCTGGGCTGACACCACGGCACTCTAGCCCAGGCAACAGAGTGAGACTCTATCTCAAAAAAAATAAAAAACAAACAAACAAAAAAAATAAAGTGAGTCTCTTATCAAATATAACACACTTGGCATACACACACACACACACACACACACACAAGGAAATGTGGAATCTGTTAGAAAGCAAAACAACATGAGAGAACATGTACTAAAATTATAGTTAAATGTCAAAGCTGGAAGTTTGTCTTCTTAGACTTTTCAGTCTTTTATATTCCTATAACTCTGGCCACATTATAATCATCATTCTGACATCATGTTAGTGTAAACAATAAATTAAATACACAACACACAATTACATTTTCCTAAATCTTGGTTGTTTTCTTCTGCTTGCCTTATTATGATAGTCTTTCAATAAGGAAACCACCAGAGAGGGTTTTTTAAAAAAAAAAATTTTACAGTAAATGATATTCCATCTTTTGTAATAACATTAAAGAACTGCAAATCAGAAAATAAACCAATTCAATTTAAAAAATATAAACAAAATGAATCTCTTATAGTCAGCATATAGTTGGATCATTTTTTTAACATACATTCTGCCACTCTCTGTCTTTTGATTGGAGAGTCTAATACATTTACATTTAAAGTTATTACTGAAAAGGAAGGGCTTCTGCCATTTTGCTATTTATGTATGTTTTATACCTTTTTTTGTTCTTCCTTTCCACCATTACTGCTAGTTTTTGTGTTTAATTGATTTTTTTGTAGTATACCATTTTGATTACCTTTTCATTTCCTTTTTTGTATATATTTAAGGTATTTTCTTAGTGGTTACCATGGAGATTATAATTAAGATTCTAAATTTATAAAATCTGGTTTGAATTGATGGCAATTTAGCTTTGATAACATACAAAAACTCTGCTGCTATAAAGCTCAGTCCCCACCTTATGTTGTTGTCACAAATTACATCTTTATACATTGTGTGCCAATTAACATAGACTTATAGTGAATGTTTTATTCATTTCTGTTTTAAATTATATATGAAATAAAAAGAGGAGCTCCAAGCCAAAAATATAATAACACTGACTTTTTTATATTTACCAATGTAACAACTACCTTTACCAGAGTTCCTAATTTTTTGTATGGCTTCAAGTTACTGTCTAGTATCCTAGTATCTTTTTATTTCATCCTGAAAGGCTCCTTTTAGCATCTTATAGGGGAGGTCTACTAGTGACAAAGTCCTTCAGCTTTTGTTTATCTAGGAATGTCTTAATTTCTCCTTCATTTTTACACAGTTTTGCAGCTATAGAAGTCTTAGTTCATGGTTTTTTTTCTTTTTCTTTTTTTGTTTTGTTTTGTTTTGTTTTGCTTTTTTTGAGACAGAGTCTCACTCCATTGCCCTGAGTAGAGTGCCACGGCATCAGCCTAGCTCACAGTAACCTCAAACTCCTGGGCTCAAGCAATCCTCCTGCCTCAGCCTCCCAAGTAGCTGGGACTACAGGTGCCCACCACCACACCCGGCTAATTTTTTCTATTTTTAGTAGAGATGGGGGTCTCACTTTTGCTCAGGCTGGTCTGGAACTCCTGAGTTCAAGCAATCCTCCCGCCTCGACCTCCCAGAGTGCTAGGATTATAGGTATGAGCCACCGTGCCTGGCCGGTTCATGGTTTTTTTCTTTTAACACTATAAAATGTATCATCCCATTGCCTTCTGCTCTTCATGATTTCTGATGAGAAATTGGCTATTACTCTTAGTAAAGATTCTTTATATGTGACAAGTTCCTTCTTTCTTGCCGCTTTCAAGATTCTCTCTGTCTTTTAACAATTGGATTATAATGTGTCTCAGTGTGGATCTCTTTGTATTTATCTTTCTTGGAGTTGCTGAAGGTATTTGGATGTATAGATTCATGTCTTTTATCAAATTCGGGAAGGTTTTGGCCATTATTTCTTCAAATACATTTTCTGCCTCTTTTTCTTCTCCTTCTGTAACATCCATTATGCATATGCTGACATGACTGATGGTATCCCAGGGTCTCTTCTGCTCATGTTCATTTTTCTTCATTCTTTCTTCTTTCTGCTTCTCATACTGGAAATTTTCAATTGACCTATCTTTAATTTTGCTGATTCTTTCTTCTGTCTGCTCGAATCTTCTATGAATCCCTCTAGTGAATTCTTCCTTTTAGTTATTATACTTTTCAGCCTCAGAGTTTCCTTTTCATTACTTTTTATATTTTTTATCTTTTAACTGAAATTCTCTATTTGTTGAGGCATAATTCTCCTGGTTCCCTTTAGTTTCTTTATTTTATTTTCTTAAAAAAATTTTTTTCTATCTTAACTTTTTGTATTCAAACAAGATGCTTCAAGATGATCCCTTTAGTTCTTTGTCCATGGTCTCTTTTAGCTCTTTGAGCATATTTATTATAAAATAGCTGATTAAAATCTTTGTTTAGTAAGTCTAATGTCTATGCTTCCTCAGGGACCATTTATATTCATTTCTTCTATGAATGGGCCATAGTTTCTTGGGTTTTTTTTTTTTTTGCATGTTTTATAATTTGTTTATAATTATTTTGAAATTTATAACATGTTAACTCTGTAAATCAGATTATACCCCCCACCCGCAGGGTTTGTTTTTGTCATCTGCTACTGGCTCTAGCTGTTTGTTTAGTGACTTTCCTAAACCATTTTTGTAAAGACTGTATTCTTTGTTACATGCAGTCTCTGAAGTCTGTTTCTTTAGCCTGTGTTCAGCCGGTATTTTGACCAAGGTTTCCTTGAATGTCAGAAACCAAAAAAAGAAAAGAAAAAGGAAACGAAGGCTCTTCTAATCTTTGTAGATTGGTTCTGTGTTGAGGTACTCCTTCAACACTTAGCCAGACCATGTACAACTATCCCTTAGCCTTCACTTCCTGCTTGTGCTCAATCTAGAGTTCAGCCAGAGGTAAAAACTAAGGGTCTTCTCAAGTCTTTTCTGTGCACATGCTCTTCGCCAGTATATATGGGTGCTTTTGAATTCCCTAATTTCCCAGAGAAACTCTCCCCCAGGTTTTCCTCCCAGACTTTCATTACCTCTGTTGTTTGCATTAACTATAACATTTTTCCTCAGGCAGCAGTAGTTGTTCATTTGCTATACAATGTTTTTGAGGAACACCCTCTGCATAACCAGTTTTCTGCCCTGAGTTTCAAATTAGGCAAAACAAATGTAGGCATGCACCTTGTGTCAGTCCTTCAGGCAGCACACAGACAGATTAGAAAAAACAAATTTTTTTTTTTTTTTTTTTTTTTTGGAGACAGAGTCTCACTGTGTTGCCCGGGCTAGAGTGCTGTGGCGTCAGCCTAGCTCACAGCAACCTCAAACTCCTGGGCTCAAGCGATCCTCCTGCCTCAGCCTCCTGAGTAGCTGGGACTACAGGCATGCATCACCATGCCCGGCTAATTTTTTCTATATATTTTTAGTTGTCCAATTAATTTCTTTCTATTTTTAGTAGAGACGGAGTCTCGCTCTTGCTCAGGCTGGTTTCGAACTCCTGAGCTCAAACAATCTGCCACCTCGGCCTCCCAGAGTGCTAGGATTACAGGCGTGAGCCACCGCGCCCGGCCAAACACAATTTTTTGAGAATAAGGTCTGCTCTGCTCCCCCTGGAGCCAGGGACCAGGGTCCCGCACAGAGAACATGGGCTGCCATTTCAAAACCACCACCAAGCCAAGGAAGTGGGTGGGGCAAGGGCAAGTAAAAATGCCACAGAGCTTTTCTGCCAATTTTGCATTGCCTCTTTCTTGATTCAGCATTTTTCTAGTTACTATAAACCTTTGACTATTTTCCAGGTTCTGATGGAGTTGGTTTTGACAGTTTTTGCTTGATTTTTTTGGTGTTTCTATGGATGAATAAGCTCTTGGAGTTACATAATTTGATTTTTACATTTAGATCTCTGTTCCATATGGAGTTTATTCTGGTATATAGTGTAAAGTATGGATTCAATTTTAATTTTTGTCAAATGGTTATTTAGTTGTCCCAAATCTATTTATTAAAAAGTCTGTCTTTCACTCAGTATTTTGAAATGCTAATTTCATCTATTTCTAATTTTCTATTTTGTTTCTTTGGCCCTCTGTCTAGTCATGTACCATTACTGCACGTTTGTATTGTAGAAGTTTTATAGGATGTTTTAAAATGTTGTGGGGCTAGTATCCTCTCATTGCTCCTCTTTTCATGTTTTCTTTCCTATTCTTGCTTATTTATTTTTCAATGAGAACTTTAGAGTTGATTTACCTGATTTGAGGAGAATAGTATTTTTATTGGGATCACATTTTATTGGGAAGGAATGATATTTCCGTGATATTTTAGTTGGCCTATATAATTATACATTTTTTTCAAGTTTACGTTTGTGTCTTTGTGAAGTGCCTATCTTTTTATTACTTTCTCATATGCTAGGAGGCATGGCATTAGGGGCAGAGATGGAGTACAAAATAAGAGTATTCTCCATACCTGCAGAGGCCTGTGCCTGGGCATCAGTGTGGCGCTGGCAGACTCTACTCAAGAATTCGCTCACTTTACGCAGGGAAAGGGCATTATGCAGTGTTTCCAGGGGGTAGATGGTAGGCACCATGGAGCATCCTTCAAATCCTGTTAGAAAAGAGATGGACAAAGTCAATGTTATTCCTGCCAGATATACCCCAACTGGCCAAGGAAGTATGGAGAGTCCCTGAGAGCCACCAGGAGAGTCTGTGGCTTTTAGAGTGTGGGGGATCTGAGATTCTCAGGAGAGGAAAATCTTTATTGCTCCTAGGGTAATCTGTTTCTCTCACCTCCAGATTTCTTAAAATGTCTACCTGCTAAGGCCTCAAGGTGAATCAAATCACCTCTCATCCTATCTATGGAGAGCCTGCAATGTCCCATGGAAACATCAAAGAATCCAGTAGGGTAAGCACCAACATTGCTCTTGTGCTTTCTGGGGGAATAAAACAAGGATCCAGAGGTAAGCGGTGAAAACTGTAGATCTAACATGAGGTAGGGAGGTCAGGGAGCTGGGAAGAAACAGCAGATTTCAGGTATCATGAACATGAGAACTGGATTAAGGAGGAGGGCATGGAATCTGAAAGAGGGGTTCATGCAAATTTAGGATGTGGGCAGAAAGGCTAGAATACTTGGATGCACATTGGAGGGCATGCAATATACTTGAAGCTCAGCCCAGGAAAACCACATGCATGAACAGGATGGGGGATGGAAGTTCTTTCTTGGTCATTTCCATCACATCAATGCTTCTCCCTTCTGATCTACTGGAAGACCCCAGACTTGCTAGGATCTCTCTACTCCATCAGGAAAACAAGGCAATCACCCTAGAAAAAAAGAATAAGTACTGATTCTCTGTTCTAGACCCAACAATTTCAATGTAGTTCTACCAGTTTGGGTGGGGTAAAGGGTAACCCTAAATGTGCAACCCTAATCCCAGGGACTGTTGATGGAAAAAATGTCCCCATTGGAAGATCAAGAAATACACATCCCAACCACTTTCTCAGTCCCCAATCTTTCCTATGCCTCCTCTACATCTCCTTAAAGGGACCAAAGGTAGGCAAGACAACAATATGCAAGACTTAGCTTCTTGTTCACCAATGACTAAAATCTATGACTCAAAAGGATTATACCTGATCATCTTCTAACCTCTGGCCCTTGTTTGCCTCAAGGATTCAATTGAGGCCTCTGTGCCTCAATTTCCCCCTGTAATCTAGTGGCAGGAGGGCTGGAGAAGTACAGCTTCTAGCTCCTCAGAACAGCTAGAAAACACTTGAATTTGAAGATGGTGGTAGTAGAGGGTTAGAGAGATAAGAACAGATTCCAAGGCAAGAGATTACTACTGTACTGAATAGAAGTGGGCAATGGGTAACATTAGGGGGCAGTGAGAAAGGAGAACAGGAAGGGGATGAGCAGCCAATGCTACAGCTACCAGGCAGTCTGGCCCCAATCCCATCCAAGCGACTAAATGCAAGTCACATAACCTTAGGGAAAACAGGAGAAAGAAATAGGTGGGTTCTCCTGCCAGAAGTGCAATAAGCAAAGCAACCAGTCCCAGCCAGGGTAGTGGCAGCAGCCAGCTTGATGGCAGGGGGTACCGTAGAGGCACTCGGGATCATCCTGGCCTGAGCGCAGCCAGTTCCGGAAGAGGCGCAGGTGGTAGGAGCACTGGTGCAGGTGATGCGCCAGCGTGGCATCCAAGGAGACTGGCCGGCCCCCTGGGCAGTCAGAGGAAAAACTGCGCAGCAACCGGACCACAGGGTGCTGGTCATCCAGCAGCTCTGGAGGGGGTGGGGGGACCACGGCAGGAAGCACAAAGATAAAGAAAGAGAAGAGGGAGAGACAATGAGGGGGCACTGACTGGCACAAGCATTATTGGGAGGTAGGGGCACTCAGATCCAATGTGAGCTAAGAGAGAAGCAGAGACGGTCAGAGCCACTGGGCATCTCTTGCAGGGAAGAAGAGTGTTGGCATCACACAGTGAGTCTAAAAGAAGGGACTAGTGAGACCTCATCATATAGCAATGCCCTCCCCTTCCTCCTCAAGCATAATTGATTCAGTGCTTGCAGATAGCAGTCACATTCTGGACAGGGGTGAGGTGGCAGTTCTGTAGCTGAGAGCCTTGACTAGAGTTCCAGGGTCCCTAATCATTCTTGGACAAACCTTATTTAGGGCCTGCTTTTCAGAAAAATGGATTTGCGAAGTTGGGATAAAGATGAAAGGATTCAAAGTCACTTAGAGATGAAGCTCAAGAATGGTATCGAGGCTGGGCGTGGTGACTCATGCCTGTAATCCTAGCACTTCTGCCGAGGCAGGAGGATCACTTGAGGTCTGGAGTTCGACACCAGCCTGGACAAGAAGGAGACCCCATCTCTACTAAAAATAGAAAAAATTAGCCGGGTGTGGTGACACATGCCTGTAGTCCTAGCTACATGGGAGGCTGAGGCAGGAGGATCACTTGAGCCCAGGAGTTTGAGGTTGCAGTGAGCTACGATGACACCACTGCACTCTAGCTGGGGCAACAGAACAAGACCTTGTCTCAAAAAAAAAAAAAAAAGCCAGACGCGATGGGTCATGCCTGTAATCCTAGCACTCTGGGAGGCAGAGGCAGGTGGATTGTTTGAGCTCAGGAGTTCGAGACCAGCCTGAGCAAGAGCGAGACCCCGTCTCTACTAAAAATAGAAAGAAATTAGCTGGACAACTAAAAATATATAGAAAAAATTAGCCAGGCATGGTGGCGCATGCCTGTAGTCCCAGCTACTTAGGAGGCTGAGGCAGTAGGATTGCTTGAGCCCAGGAGTTTGAAGTTACTGTGAGCTAGGCTGATGCCAGGGCACTCTAGTCCAGGCAACAGAGTGAGACTCTGTCTCAAAAAAAAAAAAAAAAAAAGAACTGTATTGGGTATCAAGATAGTCTAAAGCTTAAAAAGCCTCCTGAAGGTTAATGTTCAAGGCAGGCCTTCTGGACCAGACTCTAAGATAGCCATAGTCAGGGCTGGTGCTAGGCAGCTAGCATAGGACACTGGCAGGAAACCAGGTTTAGGACTCCTTTATAACAGTGCATGTAAAAAATGAAATCAATATGTGAAAATGCTAATATTGACTAATCATCCTTTACCTTACTCTTGTTCAAATAAACATATATTTTTAAAAGAATACATAAATCTCAGGACTTGGGGGATACTATATCCATTACAGAAGCTAAAAGTTAGATAATTTTATATTTTCTTCCCACTGTTGGTGAGTCTAACTGCATTTTGTTCAGCTGACGAGTAGAAAAGCTTTGATTCTGAACCCCTCATTTTAGCTGCTTGGCAAACTGTGAGAGGCATGCAATTCAACTGCAAAAGGTTGACTGCAGTGAAAGGCATGTGCGGGGTTGGGGAGTAAAAGAAACAGTGGGGAAAGATCTCGGGGGAAAAGGTAAGACCTGGTGTGAGGATGGGTAAGAACTTGAGTACAAGGATGTGCTCAGGAAGCAGAGAAGGTGGGATTAAGGTAGCTGAGGATGACTGCTCAGAACTCTCAGACCAGGACTGGCTCCACAGGGTGATCCACGAGACCACAGTTTTCAGAGACCTTAGTTTGAATGCCAGGAGACTGATTTCAGTTCTACCCAGGCTAGACTGGTGAGCACTCACTGTATCGACGGTCACACAGTTGTGTGGGTCCCTGGAAGAAAACAGGCTTGACAAATCCAATAGGCACACTCTGACACCCACTCCGTGGGTGAGCCACAGTCTCTTTTCCACTTTAGTAATTTACTGTGGTGAGTTCAGCATGCAGTTTAGCAACGGGCCATTTTTGTATGCTGGATATAGTCACAGGATGTGACAGAAGCTTATCAGGAACAGAGGCAGGGATGGACTGAGGGCTACCCTCCCAGCAAAGTATGGAGAAAGCATTGCCTTGTCTCCTTTCCAAAGCCAGGTCCAGTTTTTCCAGCTGCTATTTCAAAGCCAGACATCATAGCAAGGAGATGGTGATGATGGGACAGTAGGTTGGCATACTACCGTGACTAATCTGCCACAAGCAATTACAGACAGAACATCCACTCCGTAATTGCTGGGTCAGTCATGCAAGATCTTGGCCATGGGGTATAGCCCTCAGATTGTCCTGAGGGCCAAATTAAATCTAGATAATGTTCTTTAGCAAGAGACACACAGATCCAAATTTCTCCTGTTTCTCAACAGGTAGATCCCTGATTCCGGCTTCTTAGCCTCCATGGTCAAACACAAGAAAAGCAAAAGAGGCAAGAAGACCCCTAGGGAAGTGTGCAGCATGTTGGAAGAGATCTTAAATTTGTTATCCCACGCTATACCTGAATTGTCCAGTTCTTTCTTCTTCTCATCCTTTTGGTAGAATTAATTCTTTTCTTCAACTGGTGAAGCTGCTAACCAAGGCTTTAGGGAACTGGAGGTATATAGGTTTGGGGATCTGTTTTATGAACTTGGGTCTTTTCTTATGGCAGCTAAGAAACTAGTAGATATGTGATTTAGCTCTGATTTCAGAGGCCCAAGTTCTTTTTACTATGTCATGGACCCTAAGTCCAAGTACCAGGCAACATTATTAGTGCATTAGGTTCTACACTGGAGATGGCTGTGGCACATGGGGGCCAGAAGAGCTTGAAGCTAAATGAGTAGGCACAGCCATGCCACTCTGAATGGGGACTCCTGCCACAGGCACAAATGGGAGCCTGGGGGCAGGGACAAACCAAGCAAGTATAGGCTAGTCAACCTAGGGAGAAATTTCAGCAGTGCCTACTGGAGATGAACCACCTGACTGGGCTAAAATCTAGCAGCTGCCACTGGCTAGGAAGCAGGAGAGCAGCATGTGGAGGTTTTCTAGCCAGGAAGTCAGGCAAATTTTACCTCCCTCTGAGAGTACTAGCCCTTGGACAGAAGAAAGTCATATCTAACAAAATTGGATTTACCTTAAGGCAAAATACAATGCAGAGAAGAAACTAAGGATATAAAGGGTAAAACCTCAACAGGGAATGAGCCCTGCGTTCTCCTGCTATACCTATAAAGAGACCACAGCCCGTCAGTTTTTGGTTCACACAGATCTTCAAACTCTTCCACCTTAGTGTGGGCAGACCCAGTTCTTCAATATTCTTGACACATTATTCATCCTTAAGCTCCCCCAGAATCGCCAGCAGACATCTCAACTCTTCACTTCAAGCCTCTCTGAGACAGCTTTGCCATAGGTAGGCTGGTGCCACATGGAAACTACATTTAAAAACTCAAGGCAGTCCTTTTTTCTTTACCAACTGCCTCCTACTCCTTTCTTTTTCTTTTTTTATCCCAAAGCAATCTGGGCTCTTGTTTTCTAGGCCCAGGCACTAGGTTAGTAGTAACATAAAGCAAATGTCAGGAGCACGAGGGCCACACAAAATACATACAATGGCAGGAGATAGAAATATGGAGATGGGAAACTATATATTCAAGACCAATGAATGCCCTTGTAAGTAGGCCGGGGAGCTGGAAACTGTAGAATTGCTCTAAAAGAGGAACAAACTAGTCATCCGCCCCAACGACAGAGTTGGAGAAAAAACAGAAGGATCAAAATTACATAAGCTGAGGAATTTGGGGCAGGGGGGTGGGAGTGGAGAAGAAATGGGACCAATGTAGGAAATACTATTCTCATCCCAAGAAGGGGAATCATTATCATGTCTGTACACAGCCCAGCAGTCATGAGATAGGAAAGGGAGAGGTTTAATCAATGTTTTGGTGGTGATACTAACAAAAGTGATGTAATGGTGATGACGGTGATTATGGAAGTAAGACCCTGAGGAGCCACAGGGACAGGGCAGCCAGGCTTCAGTCAAGGCTAAGGCTGTCATAAAGGAAATGTCCTGTCACACTTAGTGAGTGGCTCATTCAGAGACAGTAGGATGTAAACACAGTGGAAGGAGAGGCAAAGTCAGTGTCAGAACTCAAAGGTTAAGTGTCTGGAGGTGACATGGTGAGGAGGAATGACGTTGAGTCAGAAGCAAACGTACCGTTAGTCGGATGCTTTGCAAACGACACAGAAAATCGTTTAACGGCCGGGACAAACAAGAGCTCTGGGGAGAAAAGACATTGTGGGGATTATACCCACCCCTGTCCCCACCCTCTGCTCTGAAATTTGCCCACAATAGACTCTGTTTTTCATTGTTAGTTATATGATCCACTCCCATCCCCACCCCTTAGATTCCTGACTAACACGTTTCATTTTCCTTTGGTGTAATCTCTTAGGAATCTGTATGTGTCATCTCTACCACAATACGGCCCCCAAAACAACTCTAATTTTACCACTGCATCTTCTTTCTGGTCATTTGGAAATAAAATCTGTATAGAAATTTTCATCCCTTCCCCCAATCTCTTTCCATATCATCTTTTCTGCCTTAGCTTAGCAACTTCCCCTTCCTAAACCTGACGTGCTGGATTTTAATCAAGGCTTCACTGCATTCTTCCTGACCATAGATCATCCTCCTTGGTCCTTACCCCTACAGGCCAGAATCCAGGAAAGAGTACAAATTGATGCAGCAGGGCTGTATGAGGGAGATTATGAAGGGATAAGCATAAACAAGTAGTATTTGTATGGCAAGAGGGAATGCAAATGGAGGGGTGGAAGGGGGCCTGGTTCCTTCTCTCATCTATTATTGATGAAGAAAACTTGGTATAAGGCCAGTGTCAGTGCCATCTTAAGCATGAATAATTCTTGGGCTGTGTCCTTGCTGGGAGATAAGTGAAGAAAAGAGTTGCTCCCCCCAAAACCCACCCACATACCATCTCGGTGCTTCAGACTGGCAGGTGGTAGCTTTTTGCCATGGCTGCGGGCGTAGTCCTGAAGATTCGGAGCACTGGAGGAGCCACCCAGCACCGTGGTGCTGAACAGCCCTGTGCACTGCGAGCCTGCAAGGCCGGGAGTGCGTTAGTAGACACGCAAAGCTGCAACTACCACACAGAAGTACATACAACTTCACACGACAACATCAAGACACACACACAGCCATTCAGAACCAACACCATGTGGCCATTCCACATAACCACAAACAGCTGTCACTACTGTCCATAGCCACACTGGGCAAGCAAAGTGGGGATTCTCTTGAAGATCTACACGGCAGAGACAAGAGGCCACTACAGATGCAGGGTTAGTCATATTAGGGGATTTAAAGCTACTGAAAGGGATAGACTGTGCTCTCCATGTGGCTCTCAGAAATGCTAAAAGAATTGGTAGATCCCTCTAGATTCCCCCTAGATTTAATTCAGTGCCCCTTACCCTGTATATATGGTTTGAGAAACCCAGAAATCTAGTCCCTTATAGGTTTGAAAGGAAAGAGCTTTGACTGAAACTGGAGACTGGGTGTTGAGCACTCAGCTGCCACCCTTCCAATTCTTCCTAAATTCTTCATCCAATATCCCTTCCCTTCAGGCCTTTTACCTTTTCCAAGAATGAAAGTATGAGACTCATTAAATTCTTAAAGCTGGAAGGGACTCTGAGATGGTCCAGCTCAACCTTCTCATTTTAGAGATGAAGAAACTGAGATCCAAAAGGGACCTCATTTGCTCAAGGTCACACAGTTTGTTAGAAGCTAAGCTGGGCTATAATCCAGGTCTTCTGACTCTGAGGACCAACTGTATTCAGTTAGGAAAAAAATACTTATTTTTCATAAGAGGAAATGGCACAGTTTCTGAAGTGAAGATGGTCACAAATTGAAAAGCATGGAAGAGTCAGCTGACTACATGTCGAGCATGCCTGTATGTGCTGAGCACCCTACTAAAAAGGGAAGCAGGAAACAACAAAAAAACCATGTTTTTTCTGCTCTCAAAAGTTTATTGTCTTGTAAGTCTATGCTCAAAGCCAGATACCCACACACATAAGTTCAAAGAAAGCAAAGAGAACTCTATTACCGATCAGAGAAGTAAATAAAATTTGAAGAATTTCTAAAAGAAAATAAATCAGGGCAATCACTGTCCCCAATATGTGATCTAGCATAGGGTTGGGACTCCATGGTCCCTTCTTCTACTATAGCCCACAAGGACATAATAGTCAGGAAGAGACAAGATTGACACCCAAGTTCCCAGGATTTGTCCCTCTACTTAAAAATCCATCTTAGCCAGATCCCTGGGTTTGGCTTAGGACTTAACATTCACTGGAGAGATGGACAGTGGAGAGGAGGCCAGTTTCCTTTGTACCCACAAAGAAAGCACCACAGTTTCAGGGGTCCCAGGATTTCAAGGTCACCAGAGCAATCAAGAAGCTTAGATGGCTGATGATCTCCACCCTGGAATTCAGGACCTCTCCTCTACACAGCAATCTCCCCTACCTTTCATGCTCAAACAGGCTCCGGATTGAGGTTCCAGAGAGTAATAAAGGTTGCTAAATATGTCTGCTTTTCTTCAGAGAAGCTAAAACTAGCTGGCTCCATCCCAGACCACCCCAAGCTTTGTCCTACATTTACTTCCTCCAATGAATAATTTTCTGATGCATTCGTGCCAACCCTGCTCTGCCCAGTCCTCAGATCATCTCAGAGGGTGGTCTCTACCTTACCACTACCATCTGTCAACCAGTCCCATGTCCATACCTGTGCCATGTTCTTGAAAGCACTCCCACTTAACTGGGCCAGACATACGTATCCTCTTTTCCAGCCTATCTAAAACCTATTATTTACTGGGACTTCTTGGAAGAGAAGTCCATATCATAGATCTACATATTTATTTGTCATTTATTTCTCATGCCTCAAACCATCTTCCTCATTTCAGGGATCTAGAAGGCAAACTACTCTCACAAAATTTGTCTGGAAAGTTACCAAAACCTTTCTCCCCCTTGCTGGTCCAAAAGCTGACCATTTTGGGGCCAAGAAATTGGGTGCCAAGGACAAAGGTAAAGAAAAATGTGACGAACTAAACAGAGAAAATAACAGGACAAGATAGAAAGAGCCAGAGGACCAAGTCCAGACATCACACAACCATCTCTGACCTCCAGTTCCTAGGTCTAGTTATGGCTCACAAGGCATGTGAGAGATAGTCCCTCCCAAGGACCACCTCCCCCTCCCAAAGAACACGATACCCTCTGAGGCTTGCTCCTTCCTGCTGTGTTCTTAGAAAAGGTTGAATGATGTTCTCCACACTTCTCCAGGGATCAAAAAATCAAGAGATATTCCCTCAGAGTCCTGAGAGAAGCCTCTGCCACTACTGTAGTCTCAGATTTGTCCCTCAATTTTCCAGAAGGAAGCAGGAAAAGTTACAGGATTAGAAGAGGATGGAGGAAAAGGACTGGTGGTATGAGGGGCCAGCACAGGGATGTGAAAAACACAGATTTCAGAGGAAGACATGGCACATGTTCTCCAAATGAGGAATATGACACTTACGGGGGTCACAAGTACCTCTATTTATAGCTCTGTCTTTGATAACTCTGAAGGTTCAGAGTCTCCATGGCCCCTTAAGGTCTGGGCTAGACTGGAGGGACAGATAAGGAATGAGAGGGAAAGCCAGAAAAATGCCCTTCAGCCAGGGAAATGGGGGTTGATGTAGAAAACCAAAAGACACACACCTTCCTGGGATGGAAACAATCCTCCGAGATCCAAGTTCATACCTAACTGTGGCTTCTCCCACTTTGTCCTCCCTACCCCCACCTGATATTCCACTCCCTGTACGGTCCCAACTCCCATGACAAAGGCTGCCCACAATAAAACCCTGAAGAACAGACACCTTTTCCAACAACAGGTGAAAAATGCTGGAAAACCATACCTAGGCCACTATGCTTCATCTCTGCTGGTGGTCGTGAAGATGAAAAGAGCCTGTAGCCACCAGGCCTGGAGGATGAAGTCTCGGAAAGTACCTGCAGGATAAGGATTTTATATTAATCATTTTGCCACCTCACCCTAGAAGAATAAAACCCAGGTTCTGAATTCCTGCCCCTATAAAGCCAAGCAGTGTCAGAAAGTTTGGAAGAATCAAAGGATTTATGGGAAAAAGTGATGAAAAGGGAACAGAGAAAGGAACAGAGAGTATACGGTGTGGAGGGAACTGTCCAGGGAATACTTCTATAGCAGAAGGCACTTCTAAGATGCATGTTCCCACATTCCTCCCATTCCAAATCTGAGAAATCATTTTCCACCACTCCCAGTTCTCAGCAGAGCAGGGTTCCCTAATCTTCTCTATCCCTCTTCAGGACTCAGAAAGCCAATCACAATGGCTAAGTCACAAATAAGAAATAAATAAACTCTGACCACCCTCTCTTCTTTCCAAGCTGTAGCTACTGCAACCACACTAGGTTCCTATCTGAACCAAGAAGCCCTCCCCTCCAACTGTCTCGCTCCTAGACACATGAAACAGAATTCTTAAAATGCCCATGTGGGCCCAATCACACAATCCCCAACATATACATATCCCACGTAGATCGTGTTCTGAGTCCCTAGACCCTAAAAGGCAAAGACAGAAAGCAGGAAAGGAAGGTGAGGTAGGGAGGGACACCTGTGTGCAGGATGCCAGGTGAGTGGTGGACATAGCCCGGGGCTGTAGGCTGATGGCTGGGGAAGGCCGGGGGAGGTCTCCTGACCTCCGGCGGCGCCGTCCCCGCAAGGGGATCAGGTCCAGGCTCCCCGTGCACTGCATGTTCATGACCTGCAATCAGACCGGGTGGAAAGCCGGTCATGGCTCCTTTAATTCCCAGGCTCCCAAAAGCCCCAGTGCCCACAGGGCAGAGCTAGTTATAGGGCTGGACAGGATGACCAGCTGGAACACAGCTGCTATGAAGGTCACAGGCTTTGTAATCTAAGACAGTTCAAAAATATGAGATGACAAGAGGAGAGGAGAAGAAGGGATGGGGAAGGATATAGTTGATAAGGATACGACTGTCCAATGCTATACTTCTAGAGCAAGGAGAGGACATACTAATATATAAGGCTGTGTGACCAAGGAGCAGAGAGAAGACTTTCTTACAAAGCTGAGGAGCACGTCCTGAGCAACCATCCTAAGCCAGGGTCTGCGCAGCACTAGTAACTGAAAGGAAGGAACGTGATTTCAACAGGAAGCTCGTACAGGCCTGAGAGAAAGAAGTCAACCTCATCAAGTCTGACAGACAATACAGAGGTCTCTCCTCTGCGTATGTCTCCTAACTGCATAAACCAGAAGAAAGAAGGGGTCAAGCACAGCAGTGCCAGGGAGACCAGCAGACCATGGGAATAAGGAGGACATGCGCGTGGGAAGGAGCAGCTTGCCAATGGAAGATTATGTGTCGGTCTGCCCGATTGATCTATGTCACATAAGTCTGTAGGATAATATAGTACTAAGAATACCAAGTTACTCCTACACCACAAAGAGAAAATAATGCATATTCCACCTAAAGAAACTCTGCGTATTCACCATGTCAATTCCATCATAAAATGATCAGGAAGTAAAGGATGAGTCTAGAAAAAAGATTGCAGTTTGTCTTCTCAGCCTTCTCCAAAATTTGAACTGTAAACCTCTCACTGAACCTATGTAAGCTAGTTATAGATTCTTGTGATATATCCCTAAAATGGAAAACCAAATTCCTCTAGAGACCTGGCACAGAGCCAGGTCAACAGATTCACTGGGTCAGAGCACACCTCAAATCAGATAGTCGGAGTCCCTGAAATAGAGATAAATCATGATGTCCAAAAGAGTGTCATTGGGCCAAAGTGGGAAACTTTCTTTCCAGGAAAAAGACCAAAACAAAAACCCCAGGGCAGGTAGCTGGACACAATGTGAGATCAATAACAGTTCCTTCCTCTTGACTAGAGAGCTAGAACCAGAACTAGAGATGAATTCCAAGAATAGCAGAACACAGGCCCAGGATGACAAAACAAGAAGAAGAGGAAGATAGATCTCCAGACTGATCCACTTATGGAACGACACTATAGGTATATTAAAGTGCCAGCTACTTGCTCCAGTCTGAGCTATAATTTTTACCCAAGGCAAGAAAGAGATGATGAGGACCTGGCCTTTAATATTGTTATTACAGTTTCTGTTTATGGAGTTCCTGTAAGGTATTACTCATATTTTGCAGATGAAAAAAATTTGAGGCTTAGAGAAGTTACCTAGTCAAGGTCATACAGCTTCTAAGAATCAGACTGGGATTTTAGCCCAGAGTTCATGCTATTTCTACAGTATTTCCTTTTAAAGAACTGCCTTTTCAAATCCATCCTCCTCAATCTCGCCTCTTTAAATTCTTATCTCTCAGGCACCCCTCACTGGCAACTCTTTAATCTCAGAAGTAGCAAGCAGGTTAAAGAAGCTCCACTGGGGGACCAGCTGTGAAAGAGAAATTAAGTGAAACGTATCCATCAGGGGAAGGGGGACTCTGCTTCAAGTCCCAAGAATCCCTTCAAGGGGATTTAGAGGATACAAGGATATTATCCTATGAGCACGTCCACCCCTTCAACTCTTCCCCAAGCCCCTCCCTTTACCTCCATGGAGCCGGCTTTTCGGTTACGAACGAGGGGTGATCTCCTCGGGAGGCCAGGGCCCTCAGAAGGCTGAGGTGAAGTCTGCAATGCCCGGTCTGGCTCATCTGATGCCTTCCCTGGGCACAGGTTCTCCATGCTGCCTTGGTCTGCTGTCATCTCCTCATTCTGTACAGTAACAGGCAGAGAGAAGCTTCAGTGGCCTCCATCCTCCTAATCCCAGACTCTTCAACCCTTTTACCTCCCTATGCTGTTTCCCAGTTTCCCACCACTTAGTTCCTAAGCCCTCCAGTCCCAAATTCCAGCACTCTGACCCACCTCAGAAGAGGCTGGACGGAATCCACAGCCAGTTGGGGCACTGCCTTCCTCCTCGACGCCTTTCACTCCAGGGCTGAAGTGTAGCTCCACATGGAACCGTTCTTCTGATAAGGGATCCTATGGGGTATCACCATGTGAAAGGGCAGGTGGGAGAAGCTGGATATTGTGGTGGAAGACCAGGCAGGGGGAGTAGAGAGAAACTCAAAGGGATACACCCTCCCAAGGATTTGGTGTCCTGCCCCACTCTGGGGCTGATCTCTCATAACTTCCCTTTAACTGTAATCTGTCACAGGATCCTCATTCCCTCACCTCCACCATTTGTGAAGTCACTCCACATTACTTCCAAACGTCCAGTTCTACAACCCTTCCCATTCATCTCCCACAATTCAGCTTGGCTATGGTGCACACGGCAGCACATTTAAAGATATCTTTGTGGACCCATAGGTAGAAAGTATATGTATAACCATGTTTGTTGGAAAAAATACTCGTAACATTATCCCAAAACCCATATCCTCCCTAATGCCAGAGCTATGTTCTAGGTCATCTCTCTGGCTCAATAGCAGCTTAGAACATATTTTCTGTTTCAGTAGGAACCTCCCAGATGCCCTGTGTCATGCTATGCCTAGGTGCCACACTTAGTTGAATTCTCCAGATTCTAAAGATAAAGACTTTGTTTTTTTTTTTTTTTTGAGACAGGGTCTTACTCTGTTGCCTGGGCTAGAGTGCAGTGACATCATCATAGCTCACTGCAACTTAAGTTCCTAGGCTCAAGTGATCCTCCTGCCTCAGCCTCCCCAGTAGCTGGGACTATAGACGCACACCACCATGCCTGATTAATTTCTCTATTTTTAGTAGAGACAGTGTCTTGCTCTTGCTCAGGCTGGTCTTGAACTCCTGGCTTCAAGCAATAATCCTGCCTCTACCTCCCAAAGTGCTAGGATTACAGGTGTGAGCCACCGTGCCTGGCCAGATCTTTTTTTTTTAATGGAGGTAGAATGAAAAGGCTGTTTGCTCATCCTACCCTTTTAGCTCCTCACCTGCGTGTTGTCCTCATAAAGCATGATGACAATCTGGGTCATGTAGTTGAGCTCTGAGATGGCACTAAGATAAGCCAAAGCTCGCTGCCATTGCATATCCTGGGTCTCCTACCGAACACAAAAAGAGATAAGCCAATGCTCAAGGACAAGGGGGTCAGGGAATGCGTAGGGAGCCAAGGAAAATAGAGAAAGCCTGCAGTAAAAAAGAAGCACGAGAAGGAGAGTAAAAGAATGCTGGGGAAAGAGGTTCATGAGCTAAGGAAGGAGGATCCTTACATCGAGAAGTCCCCCATAACGGAAGACACTGAGTAGGGAGTGGACGTGGCTCTCGCTGGTGAAATAGAGACGTGTTCGAACGTGGCGACCTGGGGAGAGCACTCCTCGGGAGTACCTAAGATAATAGCTAAATCACTCACACAGTCAGAGATGATCCTCTTCCCACCCTTCCACAAACTCCCTCCTCAAAGACTTCTCCTCTCCTTTACATTCCAGCATCCCATCTACTCATGGTTCCCCCAAGCTGCCCCAACCTTGATTCCCCCAGGGCTCCCTGACATGCCCCTCCCTCCATCCAACACCCCTCCCAGCCCTCCCTCACAGGGGATGCAGCTTGTTGACGGACTCATCCTCATGGGTTCTCTGTAAGTCAAGTAGTATCTTCCGCAACAGTGGAAGACAGAAGCCCACAGCAATTTCCAGTTTCTCTTCCCGACTGATTCCGTACTCCTAGGAGCCATAGGCCAGGAATAAGGACCTCGATGAATCTTGTTTTCCCATGCCTCATACTCCCAGACCCAAGATCATGCTTGTCTTCTCCTCAGGTCTAGGCCTTCTTTCATATCCACTATATTCCCCCTCCTCCAGCTGCCTCCTGAATTAGCCTCCTGTACTTACCCAGAGCCAGAGTGGACCCTGAGAATTATAGCAACTCAACTAATTCCTTCTCTAAGTTTCCTTCTCCAGGTTCCCAAATCACCGTCCTCTCTACCTTTTTTCTCCTTCGTTCCCCCAATGCCCTTACCCTCAGAATAGATCCCTTATACAAGACACACCTGGGGAATGACCACATCAGCCAACGCCTTAGAGAGATGTAGCAACTCCGCTGTGCCTTGAAGTCCCAGACTTCCATTGTGCTGCACGTCATACTTGACACAGTCATAGATGTCAGGGATCTTACTGATATCATAGCGTCCACTCTTCTGTCGAAAGTCACGTTCCAGCTTGCTCCAACGCTGTAGCATTAGCTCTAGTGTCTCACTGTGATAGAGTTGCAGGTCTGGAAGGAAAGCGGTAGTCAGAGCCAAAAATTTTGCCTCCAACAAAAGACCCCGACAACCCTTAAGTAGAACCAGGGAGATGAAGATGCCTTATTTCAGAGATTTAGGAGAGGACAAAGGAATATCTGAGAAAGCCATCCATACCTGAGACCTTGAAGGGAAGACAACAGTATTCATACCCACCTGCAGACTTGGGGTCCTGCATCCGCTCTTGTATCTGATGGGTGAGGTTTTCAATCAGGGCAAATACCTGATCACAGACCTTCACAGGATTCTGGATGATAGTCATGGAGTTGAGCAGGGAAGTACTTCCAGTGGGAGCCAGCTATGGGGAATAGAGAAAAGAAAAGCAAGATCGGCTCAGTGCCAATTGCCCCTATTCCTGTGAGCTTATTTGGAAGAGCCTGTCTGCAATACAGACCTGTACACTGGCTCACTCCAATGGGCATTCTGAGTCTACTAGGCACACTAGCCATTCTAGGGCCTTCAGAGAAGGAGACTGCTCTAGCACATAGTCAAGTAAGAGGGGTTGATCTTAAAGCCAGAGAAAATAAAACAGACCTTAGTTCTTTTCTTGGGGGCCCTAAAATACACATGGAAAATGCTGGAGAATAAAGATTGAAGCAAAATTCCTCAAAATCATCACAAAATGTTTTCATGAGTAGATATCAGAGAAAACACTATCTTGTTCCTCTAAACCAGGAGTCCCCAACCTATGGTGAGTTATGTAATTATTTCATTATATATTATAATGTAATAATAATTGAAATAAAGTGCACGATAGATGTAATGCGCTTGAATTATCCCGAAACCATCCCCACCCTCCCCAATCCATGGAAAAATTGTCTTCCATGAAAATAGTCACTGGTGCCAAAAAGATTGGGGACCGCTGCAAGATGCTGGCCTGAACCTAAAGCAGAAGTGCTGCTTGAGAACTGGTTTCCAACTCAATGGACAGTCACAGTCAATGAGGAATAAGGAAGAAGAAAAAAATTGGTGGGTGAAACGTACTATTCTACCTAGGTCCTCACAAGTTCCATTCTTGCTAGCAAAAGGTGGCAAGCGAGAAAGCGAAAATTGCCTTAGCTTTTTTGGATTTCACAGTGAACAACGAATTGGAAAATAAGGGAGCGAGGTCCTGACCCTTATCAAGTCTTGCTCAGAGGAGAACACAGAAAATGCTATGTACTCATAGCAATGTGCTCAACTACTTAGCTCATTTAAGAACCATCAGAAATGGTTACACAACAATGTAAATGTACTTAATGCTACTGAACTGTACACTTACAAATGATTAAAGTGGTATCACAATTGTAAAAAATAAAAGAAACTATCAGAAATGAGGAGCGGGAAATGTGGAAAACCACTGCCTGGTCAATTGTGGCCTGGATACACTGGGAAAGAATGACCATATTGGGTAATGGCATCTGCTATGATGACTACTGTGAGGCGGTGTGACAGCCTTGGCTCTGGAGTTAGACTCCTTGTGTTCATATTAGCTGGGGAACCTTGGAAAGGTCACTTAAATTCTTCTGAGCCTAGGTTTTCTCATCTATAAAATGGGAGGAAAGTCCTTGTGGTCCACAGTCCTTGTGGTGGATTAAAGATAGCCATTAATTGTTTGTCTCACTCCCCTTCCCTTGAACCTGGGCTGGGCTTATGATTGCTTAACTAACAAAAAATAAAATTATGTTGTGCTGATTCCGGGCCTATGGATTAAGAAAGCTTGGAAGTTCCTACTTTTGGGGAGTCTTAAGCTACCATTTATTAATAACAAGTCCAGATATCATGCTAGAGAAACCACATGAAGAAAACATGTGGAGAAGAGAGACTCTGATGTTACAGGGAGAAAATGAGGAGGGTGAGAGCCAGCCATCCCAGAATCCCAGTTGAACTTCCAGATGGTTCCAGCTCCAGTCAACATTGGCTGCAATATTGGGAGAGACCCCAAGCAAGATCAGTTGAGCCCAGAACTGTGAGAGATAATGAAATGGTTGTCATTTTAAGTTACTAAATTTTGGGGTAATTTTTTTATACAACAATAGATAACAGAAACATTCTTTTATTCACAATCCTTGGGATCAGCTGCATTTTGGAACTGAGAATTTTCTGGACTTTAGAAGTTAATTCAGTGCATATGCCATATATTATCTCATACCTCCAGCAGGGTCAAGGGTGTTACCAAACACATTAATATTTTTGCCACTAAATGCATGACTATTTACACTAAGTGGGATAAATAAGGATTATAAATAGCTTATGACAGTTCATGTCAAGTTTGGCTGTCAAGTGAGTCTTGATACCAAACTTACAAAAATCCTTTTAATTTTGGAAATTGTGAATATGAGATTGTGAACCTGTACTTATCTCAAAGGGTGGCTGTAAGGATTGTGTAAAACAACTAAAACAGTGCCTGGCAAGTAGTAAATGCTATTATTAGTGATTATTATTATTCAGAATTCTAGGAATTTGGGATCCAGGGTATTTGGGGCACAGAGATAGGGACAGCCTGACCTGATCATAGTCTTCGGGGCCAAAGGGTGCATCCTGCTGCAAAATATGGTGCAGCCGAGCCTTCACCCGGTGCTGGCAACTGCTCAAAGAGTCACCGTCGCTGTCCAGGAGCCCATTCATGTTGGCACTCTTCACCATTTGTACCAAAATGGGTGTCAGCTCCCCTTCTAGAGCCAGAAGGCCCTGGAGGGGAATCACAAGATCTATTAGTTTCCCTTCTAGACCAGTCCGCCTAGGCCTAGATGGTCCCAGAGATCAAATGGAAGCTGGCTTGAAGAGCTGAGGTAGAGGTCAAGGGGCCATCTCCTACTAATTATTCTCAGCTCATTCTCAGTAGTACAGAATGGGGTCAGAAATATGTAGAAACTTCTCTGAGTTGGCATACAAATACCCCGAAATTTCCCAAGTCATTCTCCAAATTCTGCTTCTCTACCTAATGGAAGCTGGGGCTGTGGAAGAACTATAGTATGCACCTTGGCAAAGGCAGCAGCAGTCATCTGGACACGGCCCTCGTCAGAGGCATAGATCTTGAGATCATGGCGGAAAGTGCTATGGAGACGAAGCAGCCCACAACCAGGGAAGCCAGCATAGTCACCTGGGGGCAAAGGGGAGGACCAGGAATGGACTGCTATAAATACTCATGTGGAAGAAAAAATATCCTCATTGCCTCTGTCCCCTCATTTCTCCCAACTTATTCTCTAATCATTTTATCCCAGCTCTGCTAGGCATTTACCCCACAAAACACTCACCCTGTCCTCCAGGATACATGCAGCGAAAAGCTCGCCCCAGCTCCTCAGCCTGAACACGGCCAGCAGGAGTCAGTTCTCCACCCCACTTCAGTACCAGCAATAAAGATGGGGCCAGGGCCCCGCCCTGTGGATCTGTGGGAATAAGGGACAGTGAATAGGTCTAGATCTACATCTAAATGTAGGTCTTCTGAGGAGACCAGAAAGGTAATTTGGGTTAGAGGCCATCTATAGGCTCAAGAATAAGATCTGGTAGGACAGAAAAAGTAGACAAAAAAAAAGAACAAGAGATCTGAGTGGTAATGGGAAAGGGGATTATATTTTACCTTGCCCCCCATTAGAAGCTTTTACTCCATGAGGGTAGTAAGTCAATTGCACCTTCCGGTTGATACCTGAGAAGTGACCATACCTATAGGACAAAGTCACAGTTTACTTTCTGTCCCAGCAGCCCAATTCTCACTGTTATTGCCTCCCTTTTGCTATCCCCTTTCTCACATCTCCAACACAGACTTCAGCTGCTCTAGTTTCCCAGTCTTCTCCTCGATCTCACCACCTGGTTCTTTCTCCAGTTCAGCCAACAACAGCCTTGTGATGTCCAGCACCTCCTAGAGGAAATAATATGGTATCCATGCAGGAGGCCAAGGCCCAGCCAATTACCTTTTCATCCTAGTCTCCCATCAAGACCAATCCCATACCCTCTTTCTTTCTCATAGCACTGCTCCTCCTGGCCAGACTCATTACCTTACCTGGAGCTGCTCGGGTCGCTTGAGTTTTAATTTCCCTGTCTTGTAGCCACCATGTTTTTCAAATAGAGTAAAAAACCTGAAGAAGTAAGTAGAAGCTCCAGTGTAGGGTGAGACAGTCAACGCCTTTGGGTGCTACCCCCCGACTCAATTTCTCTCACAAAAACCTACTTGTCTAAATTAGGTCAGTCTTCCTACCTTGGGTGTGTCACTTCCATTTTCATCTTCTGCTTAGGAGTACGATCCCCATGACGGATAATTGCAATGACACAACGAAGTTCCATCCTAAGATTAGCAATGTTATCAGAGGCTCTCTTCCCACTTCCCACCCCCACCCCAACTCCCATCATCACATCCTACTTGATATGTTAAAGAACAGAGGAGAAGGGATCTGAGACTAGAAACCTAGTCTAGGTAGAACCTAGTCTAGGTAGAACTAGGTAGAGTTAAGGAGACTGCTTAGAAGAGGCCCAGGCTCCACCAGTCAGATTGTGCAGGGCCAAGAAGTAACCACTGGTCTTAAGGAATCCCATGGGTCTTAACGAAGTTCTTCCAGATTTTTTACTTTGCTTACATAGTGCCAGATGTGGTAGGGACAATAGGAATGTCCTCAGCCTCTGTGGGGATGGACCATGGGATCTGGAACTGCGGGGCAAGCTCCCTCATGATGGTGTTACTAGAAGGAAAAACATGAGGAAGCAGTGTGAAAATGAATAAACAAGAACTACACATATGAATGAAGCTCACAAAAACAAGTTGCAGAGGAATATATTAATATAAAGTCTAAAACATATAAGCAAAAACCCCCATATATATAGTAAAAGTATAAATAAATGCATGGGAATGACAAACATCAAATTAAAGATCATGGTTCCAGGGGCTGGGGGTGGGGAGAGGCTGTAACCAGGGAGGAATATATGGGGGCATCAACTATATTCTTAATATTTTATTTCTCAAGCTAGGTGGTGAATACATAGATACTCACCATAGTCATCATGTCTTTTATTTTTTATTTATTTATTTTTTTGAGACAGAGTCTCACTCTTTTGCCTGGGCTAGAGTGCCATGGCGTTATCCTAGCTCACAGCAACCTCAAACTCCTGGGCTCAAGCGATCCTTCTGCCTCAGCCTCCTGAGTAGCTGGGACTACAGGCATGCGCCACCATGCCCGGCTAATCTTTTCTATATATTATTAGTTGTCCGATTAATTTCTTTCTATTTTTAGTAGAGACGGGGTCTCGCTCTGGCTCAGGCTGGTGTCGAACTCCTGAGCTCAAACGATCCGCCGGCCTCGGCCTCCCAGAGAGCTAGGATTACAGGCGTGAGCCACCGCGGCCGGCCCATGTCTTTTATTTTTGAATGGTTTAAAAATTACATGATGAATTTTTTAAAAAGTTAATTTGTGGGCCGGTTGCGGTGGCTCACGCCTGTAATCCTAGCTCTCTGGGAGGCCGAGGCCGGCGGATCGTTTGAGCTCAGGAGTTCGACACCAGCCTGAGCCAGAGCGAGACCCCGTCTCTACTAAAAATAGAAAGAAATTAGCTGGACAACTAAAATATATAGAAAAAATAGCCGGGCATGGTGACGCATGCCTGTAGTCCCAGCTACTCGGGAGGCTGAGGCAGGAGGATCGCCTGAGCCCAGGAGTTTGAGGTTGCTGTGAGCTAGGCTGATGCCACGGCACTCTAGCCCGGGCAACAGAGCAAGACTCTGTCTTAAAAAAAAAAAAAAAAAGTTAATTTGTGGAATAGTATTATAGTATGGTCACATTTAGTAAGATAAATATAGTCTGTTTAAATATGGCAGAAAAGACAAATTGTTAAGTCTAAAACTGTTAACAGTAATTATCTCGGAGGAGTGAAATGTTGGGAAGGCAAGGGGGCAGAGGAGCTCTTTTTCTTTTTTTCTTTTTCACTTTTAAATAATTTTTATGATATTTAAAATAAAGCAAAAGCTTCCTAACACTATTCTCCCCAGCACAGACTACTATGTCTCTTACCCCAGAATCTTGGCACAGTCATCATAGTATTTCATGGAGTTCTTGACAAAACTGAAGCCATTGACATCACACACAAAGGAGTGACCATTGGCACGAAGAAGGTCAAATCCACAAACTGTTTGCTGCAGGGGAAAGAGGAAAAATGAGAACAAGACAGCCACTCTCTCTTCCCAGACCCCTGCTCTTGTCTCTCTCCTTCATTCCACAGCCCTCCCCGGGCCTTCCTCTACCTTAAAAGCTACGCAGACTTTCCTGGCCACCAGCTTCTCCATGGCAGTCAGCATGACTGGATAGCGAATCTCTTTCCCCTCACTGTCTCGTTCAACCTTCCCATCCAAAGCCGGAGATTTTCTAGCTTCAGCATGGGCATAATCTGGCCCCACTGTATATACCTGCAGGTACATAGCATCACTGAGTATGCCCACAGCTCACCCTGTATATGAGAAGACAACATGAGCACTAGGTCTGCAGACTAGTTTCAGGGTAAAACAACAACAAAAACAAAATAAAATAAATAAACACTGAGTATTAAGAAAAAGGAGACTGACATTTTTCTTACTGAGCTTTACTGAAGTATCATCATGAAGTTTTCTCCTTAGGACTCTAGTACTATTATCTAGTCCTTGTTAAAAAGTAATTTACCAACATTGTACCATTTTCTGTCACTCTTGCCCTTGCTCTGATAGTGAAAATGTGAATGTCTACATCCTCCAATCATTATCTTCACCTGATATGAAAGCCAATTACATTCACACGTTATTTTCTAGGACCCCCGCATACACTCCTACCTGGTTCCCAAGCACCCCATCCCCACGCGGACATTTGTAACCTCTTAAATCCCTGTATCCACCATAACCTTGACATCTGTGCCATCCGTTGGCATAAACTCCTCATAGATGTATGACCCTGTCTTTCGGACGCTGCTCTCAGGAGAGTAAACGCTGCTTCGGCTGCCAATCTTCAGGAGAAAAAGGAAGAAAAAAAATGTTGCCTCAACTATCTATCCTGTCCCCAAATTCTCTAATATCCTTCCCCACAATCTAATCCTTGTCCTTCTACCTCTCTGACTCCCCGAGTGTTCAAATGTCTCCCCTACCTTACGGAAAAGGCGCTGGCTTCCTCCTCCAGCTGAGCTGGGGTAGTAGATGTAAACATTGTGGTCCTCTGCACTCACTGGCTTCTCCACAAAGGGCTTGGGAAAGACAGCTCCATTGACCTCTACTTGGTCTTCACCTTCTATCAGATTGCACTCTGAAAGGGGGATGGATGGTGATTCCTAGGCCTAAGATTGTAGAATATTTCCAACTCCCATTTCCCCAGGTTTTAATCTCCATAATCCTCAAATTTTTATGACTATATCTTAATAATAGATATGGTAATATCTACATATGGTATATAGATAGGTAATATCTATATAACAGGTCCAAGGCTCTGTCCAAAGACCCATCATAGCTCCAACTTTACCCATAATCCAATAACCAAAGCCCCACATACACAGGTGGTATATAGGAGACGTCTAGAGGATGGAGAACTAAGCAAAGTCACAGAAATCAACAAAGGGCAGGACTGGGCAAGGCCAGGTACTCACCCTCAGGCCGGGCAGGGTCACGATTGAGCACAGCATACCGAGGCAGATCAATACCCTCCTCCTGCAGGATCCGGTACACCTCCCTCCTGTCACCCCCAAATAAATTAGCTGGGAAAGGTAGGGGGAGGGTGACTAAGGGGAGAGGCTGGGGATTTCATCTGTACCGGGATTAAAAGACACCAGGGCACAGAACTGGTATGGTACAAAAATAAGGTATGGTATAAAAATCAGGCATGTCTGACCCTGCCCCTCCCAGAGGGGGTTCCCTAAACGGCATCATCTCAAGGCCATCCACCCCCTGGACAATAGAAAACTATACCTATCTTGGATGTAATACTGCATGGCCAGATCATTGATAAGAAAGGGGTTTCGAAGCTTGGAGTAAGCAACAGCTTTGTCCAGAGGAAAGCCTGGGATGGAGAAAGGACATAGACCAAAGAGAGTGAGAGAGACAGAGTGAGAAAACAGCAGAGAGACAGAGAGACATATTAAAGCTATTAGCTACCACTGACCTCCTCTGCCCATCCGACCCATCACCTATCCTCCTGTGCAGTTTCCCAAGTCTAGGATATTCTTTAGGAAAAAGTTAAAAAGAAATTATTTTTAGGGTTCCTCCAGAGACCCAATTCTGTTAGAGATCTTAAAAGCCTTAGAGATGTCTTGAGGTTAGAATATGGACTTTAAACTACCCCCAGAAACCCCTCCAAGATGTAGGGAAAGCAAACCCCATTTGTACTGTTCTCTAGTATGTCAGGATGAGCTGATGGCCTCTTTACTAAGGAAATAACACAGTAAGAACTTCATTTCCCAATCCAGCATTCCCACCACCATTTTCCTTCCCAGACCCCAACCTTTGGAATGGAAAGAGATGAGGCAGTGGCAGGATGGCCAGTTTTCCACAGGTTCATTAAGGATCACATCTTCTCCCAGGATGATAACAGTCAGGTAATCAAATCTGCAGAGTCTCTCTAGAATTTGGGTCATTGGCTTGGACTTGGATTTCTTGGTCATGGCACAGATGCCAACAATGATCTGAGGTTCAGGAGGCTACAGAGAGGAAGTGCTATCAGAAACTCAGCAACTTCTCACCTACATCAGCCCATCAGGGAACACTGTCTTATCTCTTCAGGGCACAGAGTTTCTTGCCAGGACTTTGGACCTATGGGGTAAAGGGTGCCTCCTAATTTCAGTCAAGGTTGGGGCATATCTAGGGATTTCTATTTCCTATAGAATAAGAGTCTTTCTACAGTAGGAAATGTGTGCTCAAGCAGAAGAGTCAGAGAAGCAATAACCAGGAAACAACAGGAGGAGGGCATAAGGTTAGGGTCTCAAAGAGAGGCAATCTAACCAATTTCCCTGGCCCTTCCCTAAACCAGGATAGGGCCTGTTTATGACAGGGAGTCTATGCACTTGGAAAGAATAGAGAGGTGTCTCCAGCCAATAGAATCTCAACTATCTATGACAGGGGCCCCAATATCAAGTTACATCATTTTCCCATGTCTTACCACTTCATCCTCCTCGTCCTCAAGGAGCTCGCTGTCACTCTCTTCCGTCCTCATGCCTATTCCACGGGTGCCCAGCCCCTCATCTCCAGCTCCAAGGAAGAAGTGGGCTGTGGCACTCTCACCCTCACTGGCCATCAATGACCACATCCCCGCCGGAGAACCCACTCATCCCGCTCTGCAAAGGGGAGTACCCCATCAGCTCAGAATCCAAGCCCCTGGCAGTGGGTGGGGATGGGAGATGGGGAAATGAAAAAATAAAAGGGAACTATAAGGATACCGGGGGAAACAGGAAACAAAGCTACGGGAAGAAGGATCAACAAGAAAGGAGGCATATGGGCTATGACTAGAAATGACTGAAGAGCCATAAAAGAAAAACAAGGTCTGCCTTTTCCTCCCTGCCCATGCCACCCCAACCAAGAAACTGGTAAGAGAATCAGGAAATTAACCCTTACAGTGCTGGCATGTCCCTGATTCTGCCAACAGGAAACAATGTTAACTCCAAGCAGTTACTCAAGGAAGGCTCCTGTTGATTCCTACCAGAAAAGAAGGTTACAGTGACATTTCAAACTTTAGATTCATTCCACAATGTTCCTACCCCTTCTCCACCTCCCCACAGTAGTGTTGAACTCAAGGATTTAATTAAAGAGCAGAGGAATGAGAGAGCTCAGCTGCCTTTGCCCTTAAACCCTTCACTCCTTCTAAGGATTAACTCAAAAAATATTTATTGAGGGCACCTTACATTCTAAGCATTATATCAGAACATTAAACCCCCCAATCCCTTTTTCTCCTTTATCTACCCTACCTTAAAAAACAGGTGCCAGAATCTAGCAATTCTGTTCAGGGAAAGAGGTCTAGTGCTGGTTGGGAGGTTGAGGATGCAGGCATCTATACAACAGTCTCCAACTCATTCTCAAACTCAAATCTCAATGTTCTCTCTACTGTACTACAGTGCTGGTCTAGGCCGAGGTGCCTCACACCAGGAGCCACAGCGAAAAAAATCCTGCCTAGGCCGGGCGCTGTGGCTCACGCCTGTAATCCTAGCACTCTGGGAGGCCCAGGTGGGAGGATCACTTGAGGTCAGCAGTTCAAAACCAGCCTGAGCAAGAGCAAGACCCCATCTCTACTAAAAATAGAAAATAAAAAATATATATATAAAAAAAGAAAAATCCTGCCTAAAACCATATCAGTAAGAATATCTTAAGATTTGAGTCAGAACTTAGCAGTTCCACCGGCACGTATGTACGACTACAGTAGTTAGTTCTCAACCAGTTGTGATTTTCCTGCACAGGGGACATCTGGCAGGACACATTTTTGGTTGTCATAACTGGAAAGGTTCTATTGGTGTCTAGTGAGTAGAGGCCAGGGATGCTGCTAAACATTCTAAAATGCAAAGGATATCCCTCCACAACAAAGAATTATCCAGCCCAAAATGTCAGTAGTGCTCAGGTGGAATAACCCTGCTGTAGAGAAACTCCCCCACATAAGAAGACTTGTACAAGGAAGTTCATCATTTTTAATCTCACTGTTGGTAATGAGAAAAACTGAAAACAACTCAGGTGTCACGAGTAGAAGAATGGATAAATACAGTGTGGTACACTGTACTCACCATCAAATTGGTACTAATTGAGCAACACTTATGTGCATATATGGAAGTAACATTCACTGGGGATGGGGCAGGTGGGAGGGAGGAGGAGGGGATGGGTAAATTCACACCTAATGGGAGGGGAACGCTTGTAGCTCTGACATGGGTGGTGCAAATGCAATAGCTGTAACCCAAACATTTGTACCCTCATAAAAATTTTATAATAAAAAAATTTAAAAATATAAAATAAATAAAAAATACAGTGTGATATGTAGAAATGATAGACTAATAGCAACTGAAAAAAATGAATCAAAGCTATATGTAATGGCCAGGCGCAGTGGCTCACGCCTGTAATCCTAGCACTCTGGGAGGCCGAGGCGGGCGGATTGTTTGAGCTCAGGAGTTCGAAACCAGCCTGAGCAAGAGCGAGACCCTGTCTCTACTAAAATTAGAAAGAAATTAATTGGACAACTAAAAATATATAGAAAAAATTAGCTGGGCATGGTGGCGCATGCCTGTAGTCCCAGCTACTCAGGAGGCTGAGGCAGAAGGATCGCTTGAGCCCAGGAGTTTGAGGCTGCTGTGAGCTAGGCTGACACCACGGCACTCTAGCCCGGGCAACACAGTGAGACTCTGTCTCAAAAAAAAAAAAAAAAGCTATATGTAACAAATTGACAGTTTCCAAATGCATACTGCAGAAATATACACGCAGAACAATTCCACTTGTACAAATTTTAAAAATCACATATTATTTATGACTGCATATATAATTAGCAGAAGTATAAAAACATGGACTAGAAAGAAAGACATCAAATTCATCAGAGTGGTCACCTTTGAGCAGAAGGGAGAATGAAACTGAGAAGGATTCAAATGGTACTTTGTAACCTTATCTATAATGTTTATTTCAATTTTAAAAAATATCTGAAGCAAATATATAAAAGGTTAACATTTGTTAATAGTGAATCATAAGGATACTAGTATCTGTTATTATTTTCCAAAAATAAAATTGAGTCACATATCAGCAATTTTCCATGGTCTACAAAAGTTTTCACAAACACTGACTGATGACTCTATTAAAAGCCACGAACTTAAGTAAGTGAATTAATTTAGTCTTAAAGACTTTTTAAATAGTCTTCAATAATTACTTTCTCTATTTTTATTTTATTTTTTTTTAGAGACAGGGTCTCACTCTGTTGCCAGTCTGGAATGCAGTGGCATGATCATAGCTCACTGAAGTCTCGAACTCCTGGGCTCAAGTGATCATCCTGGCTCAGCCTCCTGAGTAGCTGGGACTACAGCTGCTTACCACCACAGCTGGCTACTTTAAAAAATGTCTTTGTAGAGACAGGGTCTCACTATGTTGCCCAGGCTGGTCTTGAACTCCTGGCCTCAAACGATCTTTCTGCCTTGGCCTCCCAAAACGTTGGGATTACAGGTGTGAGCCACTGCTCCAGGCTTCTATTTTTATTTTAAATTCTTCCATTACAACTGGTGTTTGCGGCTTTGATTAGAAAGTTATAGCTGATCTTTATATAGACCTTGACCTTTCCAGCCTTCATAATCTGCTGTTTGTATTGTTCAAACACCACAGGGGGCACAACAGTCTCCTTAGACTTAACATTTCCAGTTGTGCACTGCAGGTCTCATACATACACTCTCCCTCCTGACTAATAGGCTATTTCTTTGAATTCCTTTTCAGTGACCTGACCCAATTTCCAGGACTTACGGTGTTCCCAAGGTCCCCGTAGAGTTTACACAATTACAATTTTGTCACACTCTATCCATTCTCCGAAGCAGGGACTTTCTCTCATCTAAGATTCCTAACCCTTTGCCCTTGCTTCTACTAAGTTCTCCCTGGTTTTCTACTTAATGTACAGTCATATTCTTGAAATTCTATTACAACTCTGTAATGGGGGATGATAAGTAACAGAATGGGGAAGAAGAGTCTGTTTACAAATACAGGACTGAAAAAAGATGGAAGGTCCAAATTCATAGTTAACAAAGCAAAAATAGAAGCCTGACAGAAATAGCTGCGAAATAAATCAGGATTTATTTAGACGTACCTTTGGGATAAGCTGAGATTTAATGTAGTGTTCTCACAGCCACTTCCTTGTTTTCTATGCTCGTCTCCCCTGCCCCTCTCCCCCAAACTTTTGTTGTGAAAGAAAAGAAAATTTCAGACTCTACACTGGGCTAAAGGGCAGTCTCACTTTTTTTGTTTTGAGACAGAGTCTCACTGTGTTGTCCGGGCTAGAGTGCCGTGGCGTCGGCCTAGCTCACAGCAACCTCAAACTCCTGGGCTCAAGCGATCCTTCTGCCTCAGCCTCCTGAGTAGCTGGGACTACAGGCATGCGCCATGCCCAGATAATTTTTTCTATATATTTTTAGTTGTCCAATTAATTTCTTTCTAATTTTAGTAGAGACGGGGTCTCGCTCTTGCTCAGGCTGGTCTCAAACTCCTGAGCTCAAACAATCCACCCGCCTCGGCCTCTCAGAGTGCTAGGATTAGAGGCGTGAGCCACCGCGCCAAGGGCAGTCTTACTTTGATGTGAATCAATATGAAAGGAAGAAAGGAAGGAAGGAAGGAAGGAAGGAAGGAGATATTAAGTAAGGTAAGGAGGGAAGGACAAGTGGGCTATGTTAAATTAGATCTAGAGAAGGGGTAAACTGTGTAACTTCTTTACCCCTTAGAATTTGAGACTGCTGGCATAGTCATCTAATTTCCTAAATCACTATGCACTTGATGGCAGGCTCCATCAGTGGTGAAGGGGAAACACCAATACCAAGGCCAGGCAGGAACACATCCAACACAGAAAAACTTCTCAGGCCACCAGCAATACTTCCTTTCTACCTTCAACAGTGGACCCCTGCCTTCCTTCTTAAAGCAATTTCTAATCCTTCATCCTACTTATTTTGACACTGATCAACTGTGCTCCTGCCATGTTCTCAGTATCAACTCACTTATTCTGCCTTCTTTGCCCAAATTGCTATAATGACTCCCCTAACCTCTCCCAACACTAACTGCTGCCCGTCCTCCATCACTGGTCAACTAATTCAATTAATCCAACTAATCCTCCCACTCACTGACTGCCCAGTATTAAACAGTCCTTCAAACCCTCAGATGAGTCACCGCTCTTGTTAACTTCTTTACCCTCAATCCCCTACAACGACTTAAAATGAGTGCCCGTGATTCACTTTCCTCACACCACCCCTCTCTCAAGGCTCACATTCTCTCCACAACAACCCACTCCTCAAGCTGACCCTCTCCCCTGTAGCCGCCAGTCCCACCTCTCTTTGCGCAGATCCCCTCCACCCTGACCCTCTCTCCTGTTGATTTCACTCCCATACCTCCTCGCTCAGATACCCTGCACCCTGATCCTCTCCCCTGCAGACCCTCCAACCTCACGCAGGAACCCCTTTTCCTCACGCAGACCCTCGCGCACCCATCTCTTCTCTCGCCGACCCCCTCCTCTGTCCTCGCCTCGCACAGCTCGGGATCACGAATACCGTCCTCCCATCCCAACTCCACTAGCCTTTGCCCGCCCCCGCCTTCCCTGTCTCCCTCTCCCTTCGCCGACATTGAGGCCTCTCCGCTGGGCCTCTTTCCGAAGCTGCTCCCATCCGGCACTAACCACAGCCCCCAGTACCGACCGAGCCCACTCGACCAAGCCCACCCCCTCCGATACCGCCCCCAGCCCCCAGCCACTCCCCCACCGCCCCCGGCCCTCACTCACCCGCCTCCCTCCGCTCGCGCAGCCGAACCTGCCGGCAGCGACACCTGACAGCGGCCCAATCAAAGCGCGACTTCTTTGCGGTGCCACCAATCAGCAGAGGGCGCGCACCAGCAAGAGTCAGGCTGCGTTGGCCGGCGCTTCTGCGCGGAGGAGGGTGGCCCCTAGTGGCTCTAGGGGGAATGGCACCTGATACTCCTCTTCCTCTGATTTCT